CTGCAAGTGATGCAAGTGACACACAGCAGTGATGCATTACTGAATGAATCCTCGTTTTTGAACGAATCGATGATTCAGTGGATTATTAATTATTACTTTTTTTGTAATGTCTATTGAATGTTTTTCTCATTTAACACCGTAATGATTTGAAATGATCTTTTGGGGGGTAATTTTTCAGCCCAAATTGATGTGTAATTAATTTGCAATTAAACTGATTAATCGGTACATTTATATATATATATATATATATATTATTATTATTACTTTTTTTGTAATGTCTATTGAATGTTTTTCTCATTTAACACCGTAATGATTTGAAATGATCTTTTGGGGGGTAATTTTTCAGCCCAAATTGATGTGTAATTAATTTGCAATTAAACTGATTAATTAATCGGTACATTATGTAATAAGATTAAAAATTTTAATCGCCTGCGAGCACAATATACTAAACATGGTGATTTGTACAATAGTATTAAATAATAAATAATACATTATTTTGAAAATTAAATAAAGCATTTTTTTTTATGTTAAGGTCAATAACTGATTGATGCCTTTAGTAAATTTGCATCCTGTTGCCAAGTCAAATTGTACTCAAACTAAATCCAATAATTTATAAGACATTGACAAATAAATTTTTAAACATTAGCACTCTCAAAAGCATGCAAGCATTATATAATGTTATAAAACGGTTAGTTTATCATATGCATATGTACTGTATAATTCAGGGCTGCGCCTTATAAACCACTAAAGGTAGCAAAAAGAATTTAAAAAACTCAAATTCGCACTTAAGGAAGTAGAATTAAAAAGTAAAAGTACTACATTTAAATTTTGGCTTCTGCGGCTCTCATTCATTCACCAGATTTGAACGGGGTTAAAACTACAGATCTGACCGGGTTAAAGAAACGTACAGCGTCCCACTGAGCCACGCTTTCACATCGTCTGCTTTATCTTTAGTCCATAATGTGGGACGAAATGCAGTCGTGCAACACAATAACTAAAGCTTTTTGGTGATGCTCACGAGAATAGAGCCTCACAAACACACACGTTTTGACAAAAGCGCCACTGAAAGCCCCTGAAGGCACGACAGCATCTTAAGTGCAAATATATGATGCTAAGTCTATACAGCAGTTTCATGAATGTCAGAGACTGTATGCATGAGGCAATCAGAAACACATGCACATGCACACACCGCATTATAATGCAGCACACATGAATAATCGATTTAATGCATTGAAGGACACAATGTGAGCGCAGATGAAAGACTCACGGCCTGGCAGATGATGGGGTATTTGATTCGGTTGATGCCTCCGGCGAACACGGCGAACGTCAGGGCCGTGTGGAAACAGAAGTTGAGAAGCATGTGCCATCCTTTCCGACTGATCCGGATTGTGCTGTATAAAACAGACACACAACATACAGTCAACATGGGCAAACTGGGTTAAATGCCTGAATGTGCTCTGAGTATATTAGAGAGAAGGACAGGACAGGTCATCATAACACACCACAACAGAGCAGAAACACTGAAACAAACACAAATGACAAAAACAGGACAGACGCATCACGTCATAAGAGTTATAGACATATTATGAAAACAGAGTATTTTTTAAAATATTTTTATTTTATATTTTATTTTCTTTATTTTTGAAATAAAATAATATTAAATAAAACACACAATAAAATATTTGTATTTAATATTTTATAAAATATGACAAAACTATATTAAATAAAACACATTATAAAATATTTTATTTAATGTTTTAGTATTTACTGTGTGTGTGTGCTATTTCTGTGATACATTGCATCTTTCAGGATTCTTTGATGAATAACAAGTTCAAAAGAACAGCATTTATTTGAAATAGAAATCTTTTGTAACATTATAAATGTCTTTACTGTCACTTTTGATCAATTTAATGCGGCCTTGATGAAAAAAAGTATTAATTTACTTTAAAAAGCTTTTGGAGTGTTTAAAAACTAAATAAATACTAACTTCTAGAACGTAAAAAAGCCCAAAACAGATTCCTTGTACACAAGATCATGAAATCAGGCAAACAGAGAGTCTCACGTAAACACCTGAGAAAAAAAGATTGATGAAAAAAAATTGTCCCATTAATTTCAGATAAAAAAAACCCCTGCATTTGATATTATACTTCAACTTAAACCATAAAAACATTTTTGTTACATAAAATATTAACTGAAATGAAATAAAATATAAAAATTTACTTAAATTGATTTTAATTTAGCAACTTCTCATTTTCATTTAATTTAACTTCATGTAATAAAATAACTAAAGCTAAAACTGAAATAAAAATGAATTAAAACTATATAGACATATTAAAAAAAAGACTAATTAAAATGACAAACCACACAACAAAATTACAAAAACTATAACTAAATTTAAAATGAAAAGGGACATTATAATATTTGAGTGAATTTTGAATTTTTGCATTCATTTCAGCTCAAAAACTCTCCATCTTACATTAAACTAAAACCATAAACAACATTGTCACTACATTGTTACTACTAAAAAACTAAATAAAAATTATATAGACATTTTAAGAAAAAACTACTTAAAATGACAAAAAGTAAACAAAATAACAAAACTCTAACTTAAATTAAATAAAAGAAAACAACAAAATAAAAACAATGAAAGAGCGAATTCAGATTTTTTTGCATTAATTTCAGTTAAAAAAATCCTGCATTTTATATTATAGTTACATTTTTGTGAAATAAAATAAACACCGAAAAGAAATATATATATATATATTTATTCTTTTTTACATTTCAACATGTCTCATTTTCATTCTCAACTTGATGTACTAAAATAACTAAAGCTAAAACTGAAATAAATTCTGCATCTTATTCTCACACAATCCAGTTTAACAGTCAAGTAGACTCTATAGTGCTCCCTAGACGTCTGTGCTGAACCTCGGGCCATACAATCATTATTAAATCTCTCAGAGACACATTAGCTGCAGATGTTTGCTGGCATTGTTAGAGAACTCAATAAAGATTCGTCTGCGATAGATGCAGATATGACGGCATGGAGTTCAGACTGAGATCCTGTGCTGCTGATCTCGTGGCTAGAGTCTGATTTCCCCAAAGCCCTGATCGTGATGATGATGATGGACTGATTT